AGGTACTCAAGAAATTGAATCAAGTATTTCAAAAGAAAAATCAGGAGTATCATTAGTCAAAACAAATTTATTGGCTTCTCCTAAATCATATTATCCTTCTAGTCAGCCTAACCCAGTAATAGCTGAAGGATCTAGTTCTAGTACTTGATCTGAAAAGACATTCCACTTGTAACAAAGGATAAGACAAGGAGAATACTTCGGTCAACCCAAATTAACTACTACATCTAATTATTTGAACAATTCTTTTGCCAGAGAACCACAACGATTAAGAACTCGAAAACAATCAATACTCAAATTTAATCCCTCTAAACAAAAGTGTAAACAAAAAGAGGAAATCGAACCATTTGATAACAATGTAAATTGCATAAAAATGATGTGTCCAAAAGTTTAGAATTAATAATTTAATGGCTTAAATATGTAGTAAATACTAAATCTGAAGAAAAAAAAGAAATAATTCTTATTTCTATATTAGTTTCAATTTTGAATCTTTTATTTACTTCATTTGAAACTCCTTTAAAATATGAATATTATAATCCTAAAAATAATACACGTTATTCTAATAATTCTAATAATTTGTCTCTATTTTTGATTACTATATTATCCGAATTATCTAGTTATTTTTTTTTGAAATCATTATTAAGTATAAATTTTAAATTGTTATTAAATGAAATTGTTATTAATCCAAAATTAGAATAGACAGATGAAAAATGGAAAGAAATTGATATAAAATTAAGGAATGAATTATGGAATTCGTATAAAATAGTTACAGAAAATAAATCAAAATTACAATTACTGATTTCCTTTCGTACATATCATGCAAGTTTTCCAAAATTTTTAACAGGCTTTTTTGATAGGCTAATTAGTGAAATTTTTCAAAAAAAAATCAATAATTTTAAATAAGAAGCGAAACCAATGTAACAAACCTTTAAAACAATTAGATAATGAACATATTACCAAATGTGTAATATTTATTATTTTACTTATTGTGAGCATGACATTTCCTAATCTTGGTGTTTGGTTCACTCAAATAATGGCTAGTACATCAGAAAATTTAATTAGGCGTCGATTTATGGAAATATCACATGACCTCTGAAAATTTTCACCTGAAAAATTTAATTTTTTAACTTTGGTCAAGATTTAAGCAACAGGGAGCGATTTTCTACTAAGATATTTCTAAGATAGATCGAAAGCCCTAGTTTTTGACTACAAGATGATATGTGTTTCATTGCTATAGCATCGATATTCGCGAAGAAATTCACGTTTGAATTCAAAACGTCCGTGAAAATTTATGCCATAATTTTTCCGTAAATTTTCGTAATTCTGGTGGAAATTTTTGTGACGTATAAAAATTTCCACCAGAATTACGAAAATTTATGGAAAAATTACGACATAAATTTTCACGGACGTTTTGAATTTAAACGTGAATTTCTCCGCGAATATCGATGCTATAGTAATGAAACACATATCATCTTGTAGCCAAAAACCAGGACTTTCGATCTATCTTAGAAACATCTTAGTAGAAAATCGCTTCCTGTCGCCTAAATCTTGGCCAAAGTGGAAATTTTCGGAAGTCATGTGATATTCCGTAAATCGACGTCTAATTAAATTTCCTGATGTAGTAATCCAGTTACTGACCAATTTAATGACCAATTTAGTAGCCAACTGATTAATCAACTTAGTGACCAACTGATTGACACAATTACTGATAAAAATTTTGACCAACTTACTGATTAACTTACTGCCAAATTAAATATTATAAAAAGTATGAGTTTTCTCTTCATCCCAAAGAGCATTAGAAAGTTTTAAATAAAATTCAACTAATTCTAAATAGTAAAATTTAGAAAGCAATCTCAACTGTAAATTAATTCTATAATTGAATTAGTATTTTTATAATTCTAAAGTAACTGGATTATTGATTTTCTTTGTAATAAACTCATATCTATTATTTTAAAATTCTGTTATTCTCTATTAATTTATATTCTTTGAATATAAATTCTGATTCATAAATTTCTGTTATTATTTTATAAACCATTGACAAATGTATTTGACTCTTTGATTTAATTTCCTAAATTGATCTTTAAAATTTAACTATTAATTATTAATTTAATTCCTGTAATTATAAATCCTTAAGTCCTTTAATTTAGTTTTAATATTTAATTTAAAATATTTCTTTTATTTTTCTTCTATTATCTTCTTTAATTTGTAAACTAAAGTAATTGTTTATGAGTTGCTAATTGTAAATTACCTTTTGAAAAATAAAATTAACTCAAAAGGTCAATTAATAACAATTTGATACCTTCTAACAGAAATAAATCTAAATTTTTATAATTATTCTATTCCTTATTTTAATAGTTCCTAATATAGTATTTTATAATTTATTCCTTTTTAGTTAATTATATTTTAATATAAAGGTCTTAATTAGTTAGTTATAATTTTAGATAATCATTTTCTTATCCTTTTTAGTATTAGTAATTTATTTTTATGATTCACTTTGAGCAAATTAAAGAGTTTAACAAAACTATTGAAGAAATAGCTAAACTTTATTAATAAAAGATAAAAGCCATAATCAATCAAATACCTGAAACTGAAGATCTTGTATAAAAATTAGATGACCTTGAAAAATTATACAAAATCAGAGAATAGTTAAATACTGATCAAAATTTGACATATTAGATACTTATTAGATACCTATTATAGTACCTATCGGATACTTATTATGGTACTTGATAAGTACCTGATATATATTTTTTGACTTATATCAGATATTCAATAAGTATTATCTTATTTCTTAATATTGGACACTTATTGAAAACTTATCGGTCACATATATTACACATATCAAACATCTATTTTTTGACTATTTTTTTTTATATTAATCGGGTACCTGATTTTTTTATTCAATATTGGAAATCTATCAGTGATATATTTTTCCCTTTGATAAGTATCTGATATTTTTTTATTACACCTATCAGGTCTTTCAATACTTTTATTTATTACATCTGTTAGGTATCCAATAAATGTAATAGTTATATTGTATTTGAATACTTTTTTCAAATAAATTATACAAATTTATAGTTTTATTTATTACTATATAAATTTTATACAATTTTATATAATATATCTGATAACCATTTATTTTTATTAATATAATTATTATTGCATATAATAAATATATGAAATTTAAAATGTTCTAAAAATATACTATTATAATAAAAATATAAAAAATTTAAAATATTCAAATGTCCTAAAAATATACTATTATTATTACTATTATCATTATTATTATTATTAAATATTCATTATAAAATTGTTCATTTTCTTTGGTTTTTTTTATTTTTTTTATTTTTTTTTATTTCGTGATCATACTTTTTTTTTATATTTTTTGATGATAATAATGATAATAATAATAATCAATTTCATTTTCTTTTTTCTTTATTAATCACAATTAAGTCATTATCATTATTATCATCATCATCTTCTTTTTCTTCTTCTTTTTCTTCTTCCTTTTCTTTAATATCTTTATTATATATTTTTATTTTACTTTTATCTCTATTTTCAGATATTAACATCTTTTCGCTAAGTGTCCATGAAAAGATTCTTTTAAAGGGATTTACCTCTCGATGAATTTTTGATACAACATTTTTAATTCTTGATTTATTTTGTTTCTTATAAATCTGAACTACAATTGAATCAATTCATTTATGTAATAATTTTAATAATTAAAAAAAATATAAGATATAATAAAATAATCAATTTTTAATAATTTTTAATAATTTTTAACTAATTTATAAAGTAATTTTTTTATATTTGATTAGTATAAAATATTAAAGTATTAAAAAAAATATCTTTATTTTAAATTTTTGGTTCAGGATATTATTCTAAATCCATTTTTAAATATGATTAGTTTTTTATTGTAATATATAAATTTTTATTAAAGATAAATCTTTTTTAAAATATAATTAAAACAAAATAATATAAGTTTAAAAAAATACATAAAAATATTTATCAGTAAAAATTTATTTTTTATTATATAATTAAAATATATTAATAAATTTTAAATAATATTTATATTCTATTACAATATGTATTATCTATTTAAAAATTAAATATTTTAAAATTTGTTAAATAAATGACAAGATTTTACTAGTTAAAAAAAATAAAAATAAAAAAAATAAATTAATGAGTAATATTCTTAAGAAAAAAATTTATTTTTCAATGTACTTGTGAACTACCTTTGTGAAAATAAATATTAAATAATTGAATATCTACTGAACAAATTTATTTAGTTAGTTAAAAAAAGTTTGCTTTAATTAAAATGTTTAAATAACTTAGTGAATTATAAAAATATTTAAAAATTTATGGATGAAAACTTTTTATGAAAATGGATATCTTTCTTTGTGTTAAGCTAGTATTGTGAAAATTAATATTTTAATACTTTAATACTATTTGAATAACTTTATTTAGTAACTTGAAGGTGGTTTACTTTGATAAAAATATTTAATATACATCACAAAATTCTAAAAGTAATAAAAATCTATGAGTATAAAAAATAATCAATTTGCAAGCTAGTTTAGTGAAAAAAAATATCCAAATAGTCTCATACTTGCTGTACAACTTTACTTATTGATTTAAGATAATTTACTTTGTCTAAATTACCAAAATTATTATACAAAGTTTTAAAAATACATAAAAAAATTTTATAAGTATATGTTATTAAAAAAAAATATAATTTACAAAGTATTTGCAGGGGTAGATAATAAGTTTAATACTATTTAATGACTTGATTTAGTTGCTTAAAGGTATTTTTCTTTAACCAAAGTACATGTTGAAAATCATAATTATTATAATAAATAACAGATCTATCAAAAACGATATTTTTGCATCCCGAGCCTAGGTTAAGATTCCCCGTCTCAAAAACGATACATTTGCCTAAATGGTACAAAAAGTCACGTCCATTTAAATATATAGATCATATGACCAGAACCGTTCTGGGTTTCTAAATGTCTTCTAAAGACAAAGATACAGTTACTTTCGAGGAATACCTGGAAAGACAAAAGAGCTTAGAGGAAGAGGCAGCGGAAGTTTTGCCGTGGAACTTTGATAGTTGCACCCATAACAAAGGTTATTTGCGTCAGGCTGTGTATGCTTGCAAAACGTGTAAGCCAAAGTCTGGCTATGGACCAGGAGGAGTGTGCTACTCTTGCTCCATTGCTTGTCACGCAGGTACATTACCTTTTTTATACAAAATTATTGGTACTATTCTTGACAAATTTTTTTATGTCACAGATCACGAACTTGTTGAGTTGTTCAACAAGCGAAATTTTAAGTGTGATTGCGGAACAACACGTTTTGGAGAAAGCAAGTGTCAGTTAGAACAGAAACCACAAGACGCGTTAAATGAATTAAATTCTTATAATCATAATTATGAAGGACTATTTTGTTGGTTAGTTTTTAAGATGATGTTGCAACAAAATCATAATCCTTTCAATTTATTGAGCTTACTATGTCGGAAAATTAAGGTGCAAAGTCGATTATGATCCTGAAAAGGAAGAAGCCAATATGCACCAAGTAACTTTTACATACGATTTTGTAATTTAGCAGTATGATCGTCAAATAGTAATCTTTTATTTTGTTTAATAGTGCGTTATTTGTGAAGATTGGTTCCACGAAGATTGCATTAACGGAGAAAGACACGGAGAGAAATTATTTTCGGTATTTGGGAATTGTATTTTGTTGTTGAATCAAATTTATTTATGTAATATTAATGTGTCGTTGAACGAATTATATTAGATACCAGATTTAGATACTTTTGATGAATATATCTGTCGGGAATGTACTAAGAAGTATACTTTCCTAAAGACTTACAAAAATTCACATCAATTTTTCTCTGGACAAACAAAAATGAAAGTTTGTGATAAGTCAATGGATAATGACAATTCTGATTGTGGAGAAAAAAAGACTAATTTTCAAGTTTCCCAAAGTGTTCAATCATCAATAAACGAATCTTCCATTTCTACAAATAAAAGAAAAATGGAAAACGATCAAGAGATAGGAAATGGAATTCATTCAAATAAGAAGACAAGAAGTGATGTGCAATGTAAGCTTGAACAATGGGAAGTAATAGATGATGAAATTAAAGTTGACTTATTTTGCGTGCCAGGTTGGCGTGATGAACTCTGTCGTTGCACTAAGGTACGCATCTGAACTTTATAATTTAGAATCGAATAGATAAGGATTTAAACATTTTCATGTAATTATTTTAGTGCTTGAATCTTTATAAACAATACAAAATTGAATTTCTCTTACAAGAAGAGGAAACCTATGAACCTCCACAAGATGATAACGCACGTGAGTTAAAATGTTTGGATTTCATATTCATTTTAATTTTGTATATTAATTTATTTGATCTACAGGAACATCCCTTTTTGACAGTGGAATGAAATTATTAACACAAATGGATAGAATTACTGCAATTGAAGGTTCCTAATTTTTTTTTTTTTTTTTTTTTTGTCCTTTAAATTTTAATCATTTTTTATTCAATTATTATGTTGACGTAATTATCTATTTTCATAGGAGCAATTGCGTACACCAAATTGAGGTAACCATTTAACAATGTCAATTTAATCTGATTTAACCTAATTTAATATATTTTTTAATATATTTTAATAATCATATTGTCACGCGTATAGGGACGAACTAGTGGAATTTTTAAAGCCATTTGGTGAATCAGGAAAGACGGTTACGGAGCAAGACATACGAACCTTCTTTGAGGCAAGCATCTTATTTAATTCAATAAATCTGTTTAATAATCATATTAATATTGACTTTAACGATTTTACAACTTAGACCAAAAGAAATGAACGCAAATGAACACAAAATCTTTTTTTTTTTTTTTTTGAACTCGATCGCGTATATCCTCAAAATTCATTTTTTACGTGTATATAGAGTTTCGTGAATAATATGAATTATATTTTTTTAGACCCCTTTACATTTTTTGGTGTTATGGTCACGATATTTCATTTTGTAAATATTTCTGATACAATAATGGTAAAATCTATTGATAAATATTACCAAATATTATTCCAATAATAATATGATAATGTATTATGAGATTATTTAATCATAACGCGTAACATTATAACATTAGATTGTTAAAATTTTTATGTGAAGGAAAACCAATTTTTTAATTAATTATGTCATGAGCTATTTTTATTGGAATTAAATTGTTCTCAATATTTTCTTTCACAACGAATTCAGTCTTGACAGGCAGTCTGTCCGACGCTAACCTTAATGCTTCTTTTGCAACTTCTTTTCGCATTCCTCCACCACCAACTTCAAATACAATTTTATTCATAGGTACTCTACAAGCCCAATACTCAAAAGACCCTTTACCTTTCCCCATTCTAGTTTCATTTCCTTTGGAAGTAACGGGAATATCAGGAAACACTCGCATCCAAACTTGTGAGCCTTTAATCACTTTTATTTTGCGCTTAATAGCTGTTCGTGCTGCTGTGAGTTGGCTCGACGTTAAACGAACACCGTCTTTTACACGAAGGCCAAAATCACCAAAAGCAACAGTGTTGCCTTTTGTAGAACCACCAATACGTACAGGCACTCGTCCTTTATGTTTCTTTTTGTATTTTATTTTACGCGGTGCAAAATCGGATCTAAATCGTTGTTGAACATAGGTTAATGCAATGGGTGCTAGAGGTGGTGTGTGCTGAACCGTCAAAATCCGAACTTTTTGCTTCAATAACAATAAAGAACGCTTTAAGAGAACAGGTAACATGTTAAAAATATACAGACAATTTTAAAACCATGGATCGTTTATCGTTTATATCGCGATGGTGATTGGCCGATCAATTTTTCAAAAAAAAAATGCCTAACAAAAGAAACAGACGAAGAAAATCGGATAAATCGAAGTATAAAAATATTCTTTTTCAAGTTTCGAAGTTTTGAAAAATTATCTGAAACCTTAAAAAATTGTAAAAGATACGATGAACCTCCGACTTTCGATAATATGCCGGACATACCTCGTCAATTTACTAGAATTATGCACATAAAAGATAAAAAGGAAGGAACCAGAAAAGTTAGAATATTACTCCACATCGTTTTAGGATAAACTCGGAGGTTTTTATTTTTTTATTTCCAACTTTTTTTTTTTTTTAATAGAAAAATGAGGACATGACACTTTTCAATTTCGACCGGTAGTTGATTTTTCATTTTCATTAAACGCTAAATTGAAATCAATTTATTCATTCATCGTATTTTTCATATTATTAGGCGACCACAATATTTGAAAGAAAGTTCTGTTACAGTTACAAAAAATAAAATCAAAAGGTAATTAATTATATTTTCATATCGTAAACTTTTATTTTTTGATATCACACGTTTCTAATGTTTCTAATGTTCTATTATTATTAATGAATTTATATAGGTATCGAGAAAAGATCAAACAAAAGAAATTAGAAAAGAATAATAAATTATATGAAGAATTAAATGCAAAAGATTTCGGAAATTTTCAAGATCAAGTTAAATTTGGAGAAGTTGTACAGGCACCTCCTTCCATAACAACAATTCCGAAAAGCCGCCAAAATAAAGTAAAGGTGAGACATTAAATTCTTCAACGAAATCATTTATAATAAAGAAGATGATAAAATGAACATCTCTTAGATTGTCATATTATTACAAAATAAATAAATAAATTAATTTTATAGAAAATTAAGAATTTCGAGAAAACCTTATTTATGCAAAACTCAACTTGAAGTTTTTCAAGTCAAACGAAACGAAACCTAAAATGTTGAAACTTTCAAGTTGAACGAATTCAGTCCTATTGGTTTGGATTCAACCCAGTTTAACTTGTATTTAACACCACTGTTAATAATAATAAAAAAAAGAATAAAAAAGATAATATAAATGTTCACTATAACAAGATTTAATTGATTATATTAAAGTAATTGTGCAATGATTCTATCTCGGAAAATTTTTATTAGAATGACTCTTGTTAAAACTCTGGCGATCTGAGTCGCCATTAAAATACATTGATATTATAGATACAATTTGAATATTTCGCTTACCAAAAGATTCAAAAATTGGAAATTTTATTACACCCAATCTGAGCTATAATCATCAAACTCCAAATCCCATCACGCATTATCTTGTCGTTCTATATTATTACTTTCCTTGACCCGAATATGCTTCTGTACGTTCACGTTCGTTCTCCCTCCCCTCCTCTATCCTACGTTGTTTATCTATTTCACGTATTTTTTTATATACTTGATTTCTTCGTCGGATAACACCTAATACAGCTTCACGTATTTGGGTATATGATCTAAGGACTTCGTTGGAACATTCAAGCTGAACTTGTAATTGATTACGAACGTGAATTAATACTTCTAAACCTTGATCCTTTGTTTCTTGGGCAAGCTTTCCTTTACTCCTATCACTCCCTTGCAAACCAACATTCAAAACTCCAAAGCCTAATCCACCTTCAACTTCCTCAGCTTTAATTACACGTGTACTGACAGTTTCCTGAGGTGGATTAAGACGAAAATCCAAATCTTGGTACATAACATCATCGCCCTGCAATGTATCCATTAGTTTGACCATATTTCTTCGATAAATATTTTCTTTTTCAATTTTATTTCGTAATATAATTGCTGAATATTCTAAATGCTGATTCTTTAAGATGTGTAAATAATCTGATTTACGAACTGCATCCTCAGGCTTTTTTAAAGGACTAAGAATCTCCTTAACATCAATATCCTTATATGGATTATCTATCGCTTCTCCATAAAATTCTGTCATATTTTCAACTTCTGACTTATTAATGCGATATATAATATGACGCCTAGATCCATTAGGAATATCAACAAGTCCTAAATCCTCTTGATATCCATATGGTGCTCGTAATCTAACTCCACTGTCCAAAGCAGCGGCACGATTTTTCATTTTATGACCTCTATTATGTGGCGTTAACCCTATTTCTTCTTTAGTCTCATCATTTATAATATTTGAGGTTGAATAGTCCATAGGTAAATTTCCTACGAATCTCATATTACGTTGGCTATTCTCAACTTTATTCAGAGAATTATTATTTCCATTTAGTTCTGAGTACTGATTAATAACATTATGATCTATATTCATTGACCGTTGTGGATCAGCTCTTTGTCTCGACGACATAACAAGAACGTTTGCTGCGTCTGCTGCTGCTTGCGCTGCCTCTAAGTCTTGTGGAGATAAATTTGATATATTTTGTGTAGGTTTATGTGATAACTTTGATATTTTATGTGATGATCTTGATGATGTGTGCGAATATAAAGGAGTTTTTAAAAGAGATTTAGAACTAATAGATGGCGAAACATTGCCTTTCTGTACGTTACGATGAGATAGATGTCCCGATACTTGTTGAACAGTAGGTGATGCTGCCGTGGAAGAACGGATTGTGGAATGAGATACTGTTTGTGCTGCATTTTGCATAATGGGTTGTGAAGGATTTGATGATGGTGTGATTGACACGGATTGCCTTTGTTGTGAAACATTATCTTGTAAGGTAACAGGTGATAATGATAATGGCATATTCGGACGAACAGGACGACTTTGATTGGACTGTAAGTCGTTTGTTACCGTTGTACGAGTTGGTTGTAACATCAACGACGTATTTTGCTGTTGAAGAATTGGTGAATTAAAATGTTGAATCGAGGGAGCATTTGAAATTGTTTCAAAGGTTGATTGTTGATTAACATGCATTCCTATGGGGGGAGGTCTAGAAGCGATATTAGGAGAAGTGACCAAGTTTCTATAAGGTATATTTGCATTAGCATCGGTGTGAGCACCATAAATAGGGTTATTAATTAAAGAGGTTACTTGTGACGGTGTAGAAGCTGTTTGCATAACCCCTCCTTGAGGTGTTCTAGCTGAAGTTGTCAAATTCATAGAGATTCCCGAAACATTTTGCAAACCTATTGTTCCTGAGTTTGATATGATCGGTTGGGCTTGTGGAGAATTATGCTTTAGGACCGAAGCTTGTGAATGGCGTGTTATCCTGGGTGAAGCATTTGGAATAGCAATGCGATTATTTGTGAAAACCATACTATGTTGCCCTTGTATAATATGGTCTTGATTTGGAGGAAAATTGAGGTTCATCTGAAAGAAACAAAAAACCATTAATTGATTTATATATATATATATGTGCTATATACTATGTATGTATTGTATAATTTTTTAAAAAAAAACTGTAAGCACCTTTTTAACTCAAGAAAAAAAAAAGTTTACACACCTGTTGCATTGGATTTGTATTTTGCTGAGCGTTCGAAGCTTGCAGATTCGGTCGTATTGCCTGCATAGAAACGTTTGTTGTTTGTTGCATCACTCCTGGTTGAAGTGTAGCGGGCGTTTGTTGTGGCCCACTTATGATTGGTCTCCTCTGAGCAGCAGAGCGATCTTGCCCTGTCGCCGAGGTGGTTGTTGATGTATTTAGAGCTGGGTTGTCCAAAGAAGATTTGTGCATTTCTATAACAGTATAACATTATTTTGAAGGTGGCTTTTTTTAAAATTCTTTAATCATAATCATAATATCATGTGATAAATCAGAATGCGCAATAATCACGTGAAATAAGCATTTAGCCAATTAAAATCGTAAACTAAAAAAATGATATTTAGGTCCAAGAAATTGCTATCAGAAAAGCTGCAGCTAAAGCTAAAACTTTAGAATTAGCTAATTTAGAAAAAAAAAAGTTATTGGATTTTATTGTAAAATATGATATAACATATAATAAAAGATAATATAATAAAATTTTATTAAAAATTATTATAAAAGTTTTTTAATTTGCTAAAAAAAATATATTATTTCCATTCAATTTCAATTTTTCAATTTTTTAATTTTATTATTTACTATATAAAAATCAATTTTTATATTCAATTTTAATGAAACAACTATTAAAATTATAAGAAATTTTATAAAGATATGTTCTAGTATACTATAATATAAAATGTTTAAATTATACTTACATACAAAATTATTTTGAAGTCCTGAAATTACAATTTCGAAAAAAAAAGTTGAAATAGTTTTTCATAAAAAACAAAATTATTTTACTTAAAACCCGAAATTTTTTAATTACCCAAATTTATTCTTTGATTAAATATACATATAACTAGGTATTTTTTTTTATTTCTATATAGTGAACTTTCTATAAATGCATCCTCTATAAGGTACACTCTTCTATAAATGTATCCTATACTCCAAGTTCCATACATAATAACACTTAGTAAAATTTCCTCTATAAATATATTCCTTTATAAATACACCCTAATGTTGATTCCTCGAAAGGTACATTTATAGAGAGTTTACTGTATATAGAATAGATTTTGCATAAATCTCAAAAATTTGAAATACCTCAAAAATTTAAAATTAATTTTGGAAACATGTATAGTTTAAATAATATACTAAAAACACTAATTTTAGTATACTATAAATACAAAAGGTTTAAATAATATATTAGAATAGTGTATTTAATACAGTATTAATACAAAATGCATAAATAACACACTAGAATATTATGTTTTAATATGTTAGTGTTATTCAAATAATACTATAGAATATTATTTATTAGGAATGGAAGGTGCAATACAAATTAAATCAGGAATTTGATTAGATTTAATTTAGCCAATTGAATTTAGTAATTAGCTCTAATACAATTGGATATAATAACTTATACGTGTTGCCCAAATCCCAAATCATTTGGGATTTGAAACGCCAAAATCCCAAATTACTAGTATTTGGGATTTGGGATTTGGGATTTTGGCAAAAAATACTAATCATAATTTGGGATTTGGGATTTGGGATTTCAGCATTTGGGATTTCGGCATTTGGATTTTGAATTTGGGTGACAGGTATATAATAACTAGTTAATATAATTATAAAATTTATTGAATAATTATTTTTTATTATCTGATATAAAAAGATTTACTTTTTTTTATTTAAATGATATCAATACATGTTCAAAAGTATGATATATAATTTTATATAAAATTTATATATCATTATCAGAATTATCAGAATTACAGTATCAATTTTTTCATTAATTAATTATAAATTTTCATCAAAATCAAAATATTCCTTAATATTTTTAAGTACTTTTCTTCAAAATCTAATTATAATATGTAAATTAATTTTATTTTTAAATATATTTAAAAGTGTATTTCAAATAGATAAAAAATTATGTAAATCTAAACTTGTAACTTTACCTTTTATAACTGTTCAAATACCTTCAATTGGTTAAAGTTTACAATAATAAAGAGGAGTAAAAAAACTTTATAATTATATTGTTTTGCTATTTTAACACAAGAAAATGACACTTTTTCTTTGTTTATTTGAACCAGTTCATAAAACTCCAGTTTTCTTAATTCACTAGAAAAAGAAATATTATGGACAGTTAACTAATTAACAATTTCATTTTTTTTTGTACTTAATATTGGAATACTTTCAGTTTACCATTTATAATAGCTTACCCTATTCATATAAATACCTACTAGTCTATATTTTTCATGAAGTATTTTACAAAAGGTCAAAAAAAAAACTTTCAAAAATTTCTATATTAAAGTTTTCATAGTAATCTATCTGATTGGAAACAATAATGGTATTTTTAATAACATCAGAAATATTATTTCATTCTTTAGTATAATTTTTTTTCCTTAATTACTTGAGGATTTAATTGTTGAATTCCAATATGAACAAAGTTTACAACAAGTTTACCATATAGCTTATTGGAAGATCCATTTTAGAATATAACAATTGTACCAAAAATTACTACTAATGAACTATATCCTAATATTAAAACAATACCTTGATAAAGAACCTATGTATTTTGTGAAATATGATAAAAATAATAATATAATTCATCAAGAAAAACTTCTGGATAATGTGAAATATTATTTTTGCCTTCTAAATTAGTAAAATAGAAATGAAAATAGTAGTAATGAAATGTAATATTATTTGATAACTTGTAAAGAAAATTTCTTCATTTTTCTTGACTATAGTAATAATCTAAGTCATAAAAATTGTCATTTTGAAAATGTATAATCTTGTTAGAAAGAAACTGATATAGAACAGGTGTGAAAAGTTGTTCAGTTATTTTATTTGTCTTCAAAATTTTTGTACACAAAAGTTCTTCAACATTTTTATCAGGTTGAAATTTAGACCAACTAAGGATTTTTGATAATGTAAATGTACTACCATTATACTTGTTCTAGTCTACTATTACACTTTCAACTATTCTTTCAACAATACCCAATACCTTAGTAACTTGCTTATGTAATATAAGTGTTTAATGATTATTTTCTATAGAATTAGTCTTAGAAAAATAGTTGTAAATATTAATTATCATTAGTTTTTCATTCTCTATAAGTGATATATCATTTTGTTATAAAGGAGATGAAAACATAGTTAAGTAAAAAAATTTTAGCAACAAATACCTTTGATTATATTATACAAAACATATGAATTTCAAACTATTATGTTAATTATATAATTTTTTTTTTGATGTAAATTGAATCTTTTTCTGGTGAGTAGCAAATCTTTTTATACTGAACTATAATATTTAAAGATAATTGATTTTATATTTAATTTTAAATTAAATTTGTATAATAAAGAATAATTTTTTATTATAATATTTTTATAATAAATTGAAATTTTAATTATTTTTTAGAAAGAAAATATTTTTTTTAAAGAAGGGTATTTGTTTTTTATTTTGAAAGAGATAGGGAAAAAGAGAAAAAGAAAAAAAAAAGAGAGAGAAGAAAAGAAAAGGAGAAAAAAGAGAGAAAGAAAAAAAGAAAAAAAAAGAAAAAAAAAGAAAAAAAAAAAGAGTGAAAGAGTGAAAAAAAAAGAGAGAGAGAGAGAGAAAAAAAGAAAAAAAAAAAAGAGAGAAAGAGAAAAAGAGAAAGAAAGAAAAAAAAAAAAAAAGTGAGAAAGAAAGTGAGTGAGAATTTTAAAAATTATAATGAAGTTTTATATAGTTGATATAATTAAATTGAACTGAAATTTAGTTAATACAATTAATTAAGCTAAATTAAAATTAATTGAGCTAACAATCTCTAGTACATCAGGAAATTTTTAAAGGCAGATAACTCCGTAAGTTTTCGGGATGTAAAATTTCCGTAAATTTTTACATAAATTTCCATAAATTTTTGTAAATCTTCAAAATTTTTTGATATAAAATTTTGTGAAAATTTTTGCAGAAATTTTCGAAATTTTTTTACATCAAAAGATTTCGTTAATTTTTACGGAATA